CCAAGTGCTTAGGTTACCTACCTGAAATGTGGAAGGCTGGGATTTAAACCCCTCCTGTCTGAGGGAACATGCACTCACATCTCCCTCTTCCCAGGAAACTGCCCTAACCATTGGGCTATAAAGTATGGTGGAGCACTCCCTCAGGCTCACCTGTATAAACTTTTCCAATTTGCATGCATGCAGGATTGCCAACTCTGACTGAAGCTATTCCAAGAGATTTTTTCCCCCAACATGACATAACATCATTGTAACAGGGGGGCCTTCCCGGGGCTGCCTTCCCAGTGGCCCACCTACCTGTTTCTGGGCTAACTGCCCACCTTCTTTCCTGCCACACCTTGGTGGTAATTGATTCATTGATGTAATTAAGTGGGAGGCTGCCCATTTCCTGCCCCAATGCCAGGGGGTGCTATCTGCGGCTCCATTCCACCCCTACACCACAGCCCAAGCCTCACAGATGGCATCTAGATGGTATCATCATCACTGTCCCCCACACTGGGCCCCAGAATCTTCCTAAATGAACCTCAACTAGATTCCTCTCCTTAGGCGGTCTCATCCACCTTCATACTAGGCAGCATAGCTCCGTGAACTGCTTCCCCCTTCAGGTGTAGTTCCACCGGGACCTTTGACTACTAGCCCTGGCCCACCTCCAGGCCAGCCGGAACTCTGGCCCTCAGTTCTGAGCATCCCTCGTGGTGGCCCCTGGCCCTTCGACCCTCCCAATCCTGGCCCCAGCATTGACCAGTCAGGGGAAGTTCAGATGGGTATGAGTCTATGGCCTTTTCTCTCTCTCCAGGGATCCACCCTCCAGGCCCTCCAACCAAGGGGTAACCCACCTGGTTTTGGGGGCTAGGGGTTAAGGTGCCCTGACCCACCTTTCACCAGGGTGGTAACTGGTCACTGGCCTGGCATTTCCTGGGGGCTCCCATGCCACTGGGAGCCCCACCAGGCCCCCCACTCCCAGCAGGGGGCAGGTTTAGTACCCAGGACCAGGAGCCTCCTGAGCACCCCTACCTCCAGAAGATACCAGCAGCCCTCCAGCAGCAGAACTGCCCTATTTATATGGGCAGCCCTTGGTTCAAAATGACTGCCCTCATCAGGCACCTGGCAGCTGCCAGCTCCAGGCCCTTAAAGTGACCGGCACAAACAGTGCCCTGCCAGTCATCAATAGGGGTACACCGATAGAGATATTTTGGGCCGATACCGATAACCAGTTTTTAACGAGCCATATTGACTGATACCAGTCTGATTGCCGATATGCAGCTGGGTAGCTTGGACAACAGCATCTATCTGGTAAGTCTATTGTGTGGGAAGGGATGAGGGGGGAGAGAGAGGGCATGGATGGGGGCAGATTGAGGCCCCCAAGGTGAGGGAGGGAGTGGGGCTGGGGCAGGGGCAGGGGCAGGTGCTGCACAGCTGGGGTGGAGCATGGGATGAAGCCATGAGTGGCTTGTCCAGGGAAACCCGTGGAGGGGGCAGCTCCCACTGCTTCATGCACACCAGGAGGACATGTGGGGGTGCACCCCCAGATATGCGCAGGGCAAGGGTGGGCTGCTGCTGGGGCTGGGGTGGGTGGTGGGGCTGCAACCATCCCAAAATTCTCCATAGTCTCTGTGGAAGAACTCAATTCCCAGTCTCCTCTTTTGTTTTTTTTTCCTTTCCTCTTTCTTTGTCCTCTCACATGTCTGGTTGCCCTGAGTTACTGACTTCAGGTAAGAGGGTGTGAATTAAACCTCTCTATTGTTTGGAGCTCTGACCTCATGAAATGGGGTCTGGGGCTTCAGCCCATGTTATGCCAGTAGGTAACTCTGATGTTTTTCAAATTGATTGACCAGCATCAAATAACACCTACCCCTGACTGGGATTAGCTGGTGAGGTCAGTAGGGCTATTTAAGAGGGTCGGTCCAGGAAGAAGGTGGTCAGATATTTTAAAATGCACACAGAAGTGTGGGACTCTG